TGTATTTCCAGTGTCACCATTGTCAATGTCCATAAAGTTTTGAGGAAGTTGATCTTAACAAATAGATAAGATCATTAAGGGTCTTGTCATAGTCTGTTTCATAGTCGTCCCAAAGGGACTCACTATGTGACTTAGAAAGTAATTGAGCCACTAACTTTCTCAAGACTTTGACACCCAACTCTCCCGGCTTGTCAATATGTGACTACATCTCCAAGATGTGATCACACCTAGACCTTGCCTTGCCATAGGGCTTGAGTGACCTTAAACTTTTAAGAACTTGTGGGTAGGGAGAATAATTGGAGGAGGAGAAAGAAGTATGATATCCATGGGACATCATCTTCATTAGGAATGCTTGTTTCAAGAGATTTGGGAAGATCATAAATGTCTAAACCAGACATGTTATGGGAGATATTCAAGATAGTTGATCTTTGAGTCCTTAATATGACACCCAATATGAAAATATTAAGGCTAGGACCCAACAAACTATTTTATAACTTAGAAGAGGTATGCCGTAATCCAAGCTATAAAATAATTTGAAGGTAGGTGAATGACGATTCACCAATTTCCACCAAGATAAACGAAATGTATTATTAGGTTTTAATTGGTTTTGAAACTCCTAGATCTTTTGAGATTCATTGAACTGTTCAATGGCATGTTTCAATCTCGAGTGTGCCCTTCAGGTTTTGTGACTGGGATGCCGAGGATCACAAAACAAGGTGTGAAGTAACCATGCAAATTACTGGGTACCCTTAAGTGTTTATCCCTCAATCGATGTGCCGGTTAACCACACACGCTCCATCGATACTATGATAAACATTAAGTTACCCTTTGCCTACCTTGTTAAATACGAGTTAGTGTGCCGGTTAACCACACACGCTCCACTAACCGACTTAAACAAAGTGCAAAGTGTAATTTCATGGATTAGCACCTTATTCACATTTTCCTAAGTAACTAATATTGGGTATTATTAAAGTTTAGTTACTTAGTATTTATCATTAATACTTTTAATGAAGGGAGAATTATAGTCATGTCAAACCTGTTCGGCTAACGACCCTCCACCAGTCAAGCGAGCGGTGGGTGAGAGTAAACACCCATTAAGTTGCCATTTTATAGGCAACAACCTTATACCCACCTTATAGACCGGCTTCGTGAATGAGGCGTACTAGCGGTAAGACCGACTTTACTCTTATACATATAAATATTATTAACTTATAATATTATAAAGTATAAGGGTTGAATTTTAACTTTTAAAATTTTAAGGGCTAACTTGGAATTAAAGTATTCATAAGAGAAAACTTTACAAATTCCAAAACTTGAGGGCAAGTTTTGAAACTATTCAAAACTAATTAATTCCATAACTTATGTATTTAAAGTAGTTTTAATCCAAAAACTCTTCAAGTTCCATAACTTGTGGACAAATTATGGAAGACTTTAAACTAATAAAGAATTAATCTTTTCTTATTTTATAACTTATGGAATTAATTAAGGTTACATATTTTATTTATTTATTTATTAATGAAGTGACTCTTGAACCTCCATAACTTAAGGACAAGACTCTTCATCTTTTGTAACCTTTGCCAACTTTATGAGTTTTATGAGTCTTTAATGTGACTCTTCATGTAACTTAAGGATAAGTTACACAAACACATTTTATACTCAACTCTTAGATTAATTTGGATTGAAAACAACTTTTTCACTCAACTTTTCTATTAATCTAAGCAACTCATAAGAACAAGATAATTCAAATCAAACTTTTTCATGTAATTAGTCTAACCTTTAAACTAATACAAAACATGAATCTATTGACAATTATCTTAAAAATGGATTAGCATGAACATTACCACATTTAAAAACAAGTTTATAAGTTCAAAACAACTTAGGGTAATGTTCCTAGTCCATTTCTAGCCAAAAACCTCGAAGATATGCTGTCTGGGGTCCAACTCGTCGAGTGCATGAACACAACTCGGCGAGTTGGATGCATTTTGCCTTGGACTCGTCGAGTCCCTTTATGGACTCGGCGAGTCAGCTGGGCTGACAGCATCAAAACTCGATTTTTCAGCTTCTATTGCAGGTATAACAAGAAAACAAGCCTAGGCTCTGATACCACTGTTGGGTTATGAGCATTCTAACACTCCTAAGTGTACATGCAACCCTAAATACCTTGGATCTATGTTTTCTCTATTATACATGCAAATATGAACATCCAAGGTATTATCCTAATCTAGCATACAAAATAATGGATATAACAAGATAGAATACATACCTCTTTGATAGTGCTTGTCTTCATGAAGCTTGAGTGCCTAGTGCCCCAAGTGTGACACCTCAAATGGTTCACACAACACCATAAGCACTTGGAATAACTTAGAGAGAAATTAGAACACTTCATGAAATCGTCTAGCCCTCATACACATACATAGTGTTAGTCACGATTTCTTTAGCCATGGGTTTCTTTTATATGGTGGCTATTAGGGTTACACCATGTAACTCATGACTTTACCCATTCCTTATGCTCCATGGATTTTAACCTCCATGGAGTATCCATGGGTCACCCCATGGACTTAGTCCAACATAAGGAATCTTGGATCACAAGCCCACACATATAAGAATGAATGATTTACACAATCAACCCATATATTTAATTAGTCTTCTTTTGATCACTTAATTAATTCCAAATTAATTCTTGATCAATACTAATTAAATAACCTTATTAATATATTAGAACTTATAATATATTAACAAACCTTAAGTGTTATTTCTCTCATTTTAGTCTATCCAAGTGCATGATGCCATGCAACCCAAATGGACCATGCCGGGTCGGGTCAAGTCTTACCAATTATAGTTATGGACTTAGACATTAATCCAACAGCTATAACTCTGTGGACCCTCAGGTCCTAACTCTGTGGACCCTCTAGTCCTAACTCTGTGAACCTTTTGGTTCTAACTCTGTAAACTTTGAAACATACATAACATAAATCACATAGAAATCATGCAGTGTATCACATCAATAAATAACATACAAAATACATTATCACATAACTCTAAGTACCACTCTAGGAAAAGTATAATGAGAAGACTCACCTCGGGTAACTCGGAAAATCTTGAAATTTGTAAAATCTGATCTAGCCTCCGCCTAATCATATGAAATAAACACTCTAAATTAATATATCTCTCAAGGCTAGATTATTCCCTCTCTTAGTACTCTCAGAAGGGTAAAAGACCATTTTACCCCCCTCATGGCTTAAAGACCCAAAAGTTATCCAAACCCTAAAAGTCAACAAAAGTCAACTCTCCAGGTTACACTGCGCGTACCGAACGCGTACGCTAGGTGTACCCGGTGTTTCCACAAAAATGGGGTGCGCGATGCCTTACACTGCTCGTACTGGGATTACGCCCCGCGTAACACCCAGTTCCAGACCCGAAGCTTTTGGGGTCTTAAACAGTTAAGACCTATGTCCAATTTCTAGATCTGACCACCTCTAAACCTCTTAAACCATAAAGTTGGTGACTTTAAGCCTTTGCATGGTTGGATAAGTCACTATTACCCAAAATATTCCATTTCCCAACCCTAAGGAGCTCATAACTCAAGCATGAGCTCATATCAACAACCAAGATGGAAACTTTATGGATCTATAACTCAAATACTACTGAAATGGGATAGATCTAGGTCCATAGAGCACATTACATTCATAAAGTCTCCACCTTTGGGACTTTTAACCCCGGAAATGGTCCGTGCAACACCAAACCAAATAAGGAAGAAAGTTTTGAACTTAATACCTCTAAATGAAGCTCCTTTCTCTGAAGATCTCAGATCCAACCTTGCACTTCAAGTCCTGACCTCCTCAAGTTCTTCTCCTTCTTCTTCACAAACACACCAACACACTTTTAGCTCCAAAACACACACACACACACACACACACTCAGCTTTGGACGATGGAACGCTCTCTTTTAGGGTTTCACTCTCTGATATGGAGGTTGAGAAATGAGCCTTAGCATCCTTTAAATAGGGCAAAATCCAAGCATTTAGGGTTTGCATCTGGACCCATTACGCCCAGCGGAAACCTGGGTACGCTCAGCGTACCCAAGCGACTCCGCATCCAAATTAAGCGCATTAGTACGCACAACGTACTCCCCAGTATGCTCATCGTACTCATTTGCTCCAAATTTCTCTCAAGGGACCATTCTTGGCAATTTGACAAAATAGAAGGGTTTAATAGTTTTACCTGGAATTCGGGATGTTATATATATATATATATATATATATATATATATATATATATATATATATATATATATATTAGTTTATAACCCGTAGGAACCACGGTTATAAAATTAATTAAACTTTTATAGTGAACTCAAAATTATTTATCAATTATTTTAAATAGATTATTAATTAACAAATATATTTATTAGTTATGTGAAATTATAATCGTTGATTAAATAAATGAGTAAAATTAATTTCTAATATTTATTAGACATTTTTTATTTGTGAATTAATGAAAACAATAATATAAAATTTAAATTTTAATATAGAGAAAAAATACATTGACAAATAGCATCACATTAATGAGGAAGTCTAATAAATTTAAAATGAAGAACTAATAGATTGACAATTGGCAACATAAGAGGTCTAATATGGTGAGAAATGACAAAAGAACTACTCTTTTATTAGTATAAGAAGATATATATATATATATATATATATATACATATATATATATATATATATATATATATATATATACACACACACACACATGGAAAATCAATGGAGAAGTATATTAATTAAGTTAAAAACATTGGCTAATATAATAAAACCCTTTTGGTGATTTTAAGTGTCAACGTTGGGAATCCCCCCCCTCCGACCCCTCTTCTCCGACGAGTGCAAACACCGGCAGGTCTTGGGTATATTCGTTCTTTCCTTGATATCAATTTGATTGTCTTCTGATTCATCCTTGTTGACATTTCCTGTGAGTATTCTCTTCTTGTACGTAATGGGTTTCATGAATTCTGAGAATTCTCGATGGAAGTCAGATGATGTGTGGAATAAAGATTTCCATTTTAATGGAGTGGACAAGCGAAACAGATTTCAATCTAAACGGGATCAATATCATTTGAGGTATGATAGTCAATCCTTCTACATTACAAACTTCCCAAAAACTATTCTACCTTCTGATTTATGGTGTGATTGTGGTTGTCTGGGTAAGATTGTCGAAGTTTTTATTTCTAATAAGAAGTCTCGAATGGGGAAAAGGTTTGGCTTTGTCAGATTTTTCGGGTAATTTTAACGTCTTCTGCAAACAAAATCCATTAAAATTTTTAGAAAGTTGAATCTCCTATTGTTTCTTATGCAAGTGTAGTAAGAGGTCAAGACAAGGGGAATAAAGAATTGGATAATGTTGCAATGGGGAATAAAGAACCAGTTAATGTTGCTATTGTTCTTAATTCTGGGGATTTTATTATTAGAAATAAAAAGCTTGCATATCTAGCAAAGGCAAGAGATTTTTCTACCTTATCGAATCTTAGGATGTTATGTCATGATGAAGGTTTTGTGGATTTTCAAATTCGATATGCGTGGGGCCTTTGGGTGATGTTTTAATTCACCTTTAAAGAAGCATGCAAAAACTACTTTGCAAGTGATGCGGTTAGTCACTTAATTACAGAAATATAACAATGCGATAGAAATTTTGTTCCACAGGATCGCATTATATGGGTTGATATTAAAGGACTACCTCTTCGGGCTTGGAGTAAGTTGGCATTTAGGGAGGTTTTGGCCAATGGGGTTATGTGGTATAATTAGATGATAACCTTGGTGAAGATGTATATAAAAGTCGAGTATGTGTTTTGACTTCTTATCTTTGTATTATTTTTCAAGTGGTGAAGGTTAGTGTCGATGGTATCATATTCCCGGTTAGGGTTAATGAAGGACCCGACTAAACTCCGTCTTTTTCTTGTGATTTCATGAAATCCACTGATGGGGAAGACAAGGGACATGTTCAATTTGATGAAGAAGGAAGTAATGGTTCTCTAAATGATAATGATGAAGTATCTAAGGACCCATTTGGAATTAATGACACATTGGAAAAACATAAGAAAGCTTAAATGAAAATAAAAAACCTAATCATTTTTCTCCAAGGAAATCTGAAGATAGCAAGGATCCAAATGACTTTAACGAGCAATGCAATCAGTTTAATTGTCCCATATCACTAGCCATGTCAACCACCCCTGCATAAACTCCAATGTAGCTGCCCTTTTCTGACCGATGGACAGTTGCAACTCTAGAATTTGTTCATGTTGAAGATTCGACAACATGCATCCCCCTTCTTCGTGACCCTAGATGAAGACGAGCGAACTTGATGCGAATCAGGTTAAAAAAAATGTTGAGGGTCAATTACGTTCATATCAATCTTCCATTCCTCATCCTGTAACTAGTTATTTGGGTTTTTCGAGAGGTTTTGGTAGAGTGTTGGGAGTTAATGTTTTTGAGGATGAGATTACTCATCCCTCGGGTTTTGCAAATAAATGTTATTCTTTTAATGGCAGCAATCAGAGTATTTCAGGAGCTTCTTTTAATAATAATTTGTTTATTATTGAAGTAAAAAAAACTATAGAATTGGGAGAAGCAATGGGCAATAATTTAGATGGGTGTCTTGATCGTTTGAAATAAATTGTAACAGGTGATGATGAAAGACATCAGATTTGATGAATTTTCTCTCAATTAATGTTCAATGGTCAGGTTGTGTAACATCCCAAAAATCAAGGAAAAAAATTTCATTTTTACATAAGTTATTATAAAACCATAAGTAATAAAACACACATAATAACATCTCATGTGAAAACCAAAGTGTAAATAGTTAAACATGTTATCATGAAATAATATTAGAGTGTAACCCAAAAGATCTCATGTGCGGAAAACATAGTGTGATGCACTGCGATCGTGCCGACTCGTTTCCTTTGAAAACATAGTACCTGAAACCAAAACTTAAAACCGTCAGCACAGAGCTTAGTGAGTTCCCCCATCATACCACATACCATACAATCACATACTATCATGCATATCGGGGTGCCCGACCTACCTCATGCCAGGCATATCTGGGTGCCCGACCTACCCTACTGAGCATACCGGGGTGTTCAACCTACCCTTGCTAGGCATACCGGTGTAACGCCGCATTTCTGGTATGTAATTCAAATAAAGTATTTTTCATTTCTGAAGGGGGTGCTCGATGAGTCTGTAGCCCGACTCGTCGAGTAGAGACGGGACGATCACGCGTTTTGAGCTGGCTACTCAACGAGTCCATATGCTGGACTCGGCGAGTCTGCCTGTCTGGATGAATCCCTAAATTTTAAGGGTTTGCACCCTATTTAAACACACTTATGCACCCCCAACCTCAAATTTATCACTCTCAGAACATTATCCCTGTAAGCCCTAGCCCCATTGTTGAGTTTGAGTGTACTTGTGATAGCTTAGAAGCTTTGGGAAGGAAAGAAAGTCCATAGAAGGGAAGGAAGATCCAGGAGTTAGCTTACATCTGTTCTTCATTCAGGTAATGAAGTTATGACCTTGTGCATTCGTCCATTATAACCTCCTTTATGCTTGTTATTCCTTCTTTGGTGTCTTTTATTATTCAAAACTTGAGATATGGACTCTCCTTGGATGAAAACTTCAGATCTGGACTCTCATTGCATTCTAGAAGTGTAAAGTTTAAGTTATGGTGTTGATTCAGGTCCCTCTTGAGGTTGGAACCCCATTAATTGCTTAGGGTTGGCATTTGAAGCCTTTGAAGCCATGCATGCACGTAAAGTTTGCAACTTTACGTGATAAGCATGCCCTAGAAGCTTGGATCTATGATTTGGAGCCGCTGCATGGCTCAACTCAGGTCTGTATGGAAAAGAGACTGAATGGAGTCGGTGAGTCGCAAGCTTTACTCGGAGAGTCATATGAAGATAGCCATGGACTCGACAAGTTGGATGAGCAACTCGGCGATTCCGATGAAGATTGCCTTAGACTCGGCGAGTCGGATGAGTTTTTCCTGAGAAAAGTAGTGTTTGAGTGAAATGGCTTCATTTTAAAGTCAGCAACTTTATGTGTTATGATGGTGTCAAGGGCTCAGATATACGAGTTAGAGGCCCTGGAATGCATTGAAATTTGATTGTATGGAATCTGCGTTAGGATTCGATGAGTTGCTCTTTGAACTTGATGAGTCGAGTTACGAGTCCCCGTTTTCCTTCGAGTTGTGAGTTCAGAGTGAATCAGTGAGTGGGAAAGGGGCTCGGTGAGTTAAAGTCAGAGTTAGTAATGGAGGGATCGGCGAGTCTGCACCCTGACTCGGCGAGTCTGCACCCTGACTCGGCGAGTCCGATCAACTGGAAGTTGACTTTGACCAGGGAGTTGACTTTGACCAAGGTTAAAATACTTATTTTACCCTGAGGGCATTTACAAGTAACTGATCTAGTTTTTTTAGGATTTGTAGCCGGTCAGTTCTGGAGCAGCAGCCAACCACTTTTAGAGTTAGCATCTCATCAGCCAGCACTACGAGGTGAGTTTTCCTTCCAGTAGGAACGGGTCTACGGCCGCAATGCCGCTCCGCCTAGTTAGTAGTAGTTCTGGACTTTGGTCTGACGTAGTAGTTTAGTGTGCTTGATGTCTTTGTTATTCAAGCATGTATTTGTGTTATGTGTTCCAGAATTTGGTTCGATCCCGTATGCAATATATGTGTTTACGCTAGTTGATATGTTTATGCTATGTTATGTTATGCTCAGTCAGTTTCCGCACTTCGGTCCGAAGCAGGGGACAAGGTCCCAGTCAGTTTCGGATTTCGATCCGATGCAGTTAGTTCTGGACTTCAGTCCGATGCAGGGGACAAGGTCCCAGTCAGTTCCGGACTTTGGTCTGATGTATTTTCCAGACTTCGGTCTGATGCAGAGGGCAAGGCCCTGGTTAGTTCCAGACTTCGGTCCAAAGCAATTTCCAGACTTCGGTCCGATGCAGTGGGCAAGGCCCAATATGTGTTTATATGTTATTGTATGGTATGTGGTAGTCTGGAGGAGCACACTAAGCTTTGTGCTTACAATTTTATTTTTGGTTTCAGGTATTTCCGCAAGTAAAGGGAAGAGCTCGGGATGATGGCATTGCACGCACCACAACTTCATCTTTTGTATTTGGAGTTTATTTCAGATACTATGTTATGTTGTTATAGTTCTTTTGTTATGACACATCTAATATAACTTTTTGGGATTTATGACGTACGATTTTATGATATATTATAAATCATTGATAACCTTAGTATTATTTAAACAAAAAATTTTGGGTCCTATTTTGGGTCGTTACAACCGGGGTACCTAACCTACCCCTATCAGACATACCGGGGTGTCTAACCTACCCTTCCCGTTTATCAACACCGGTTACAGGGACTATTTCACCCCTACTACGGCCACATAGAAACATAACATAATCATACTATCAGGTATACCGGGGTTCCCGACCTACCCCTTGGTCCTATTGACCAGATATTGGAACTAGTCCCCCTACTACCACTATCACATAACATCATATCATGAAAAAACTGCTAGGCATGCATGGGTATTCACTACCCCTTCGGTATCTTTCAACCGGTATTTGGGACTGTTTGACCCCTACTACTGGCAGCACATATATCAGAGCATCCTAATAGATAGAGTATATCAGATTGTTGCAAACCAGACAATTATCACAAAGACAATCATCTCAATACATAATCATCTACTGGTATGCCGACATTCGAGCCCTAGACCCACCTCTATTGGAAGGTAACTCACCTAACATTGCTGAAGTCCCGCAGACGAAACCCTGGCTAGTGGATGACAGCTTCCCGAACTGTCAATATCAAAACAACACCCAATTAATAATTGGGTTCCAACATAAAAATCATAAGCCCATGCTTAGGGTAAAAGACTGCTTTACCCCTATCTTAGCTTGATTCAACTCAAGGCCCAATCCAAAGGCCCAAAAGTAAAACTATCAATCAAAGCCCAACATATGGCCAAATTTCCTAACTTGGGCCCAACCTTTACTTGGTCTTACCCTAAGGCCAAACCATTCATTCCAGTCCAAACATTTGGCATTCAAATGGCCCGATATCTCATAATTATCAAGCCCAAATTATGGCCCAATTTTACAATTTGGGCCCAACCCCTCATATGGGCCTTACCCTAAAGCCCATCCAATTATTCTAGTCCATATGATTATTCATGAATGACCTATTATTGGCCCAATCACCAAAGCCCAATAGAATGGCCTAAATGAAATTAGGGTTTTCACATAAAATAATGATTAGCGTTAATTGTTTGTTACTTAGCCCATTAAGGACTTAATCCATTAAGTCCATCATTCTATTGGGTAAATCATATACTATGGCTGGGCTTAATACATAATCCCAGTCTCGTCATCTAAAAATGCGGGTCCTGACAGTCCAAACCATATATCCAAAATTAGGGTTTTCTAAACCCTAATTAGGGTTTTCAATCTAATCATATCCCAATATGCCCAAAACTAAGTCCTTAGATCAATTAAGGATTCATCAGGACCACTAGGGTATCATAAGGCCCATTAGGGTTTCATAA